TATAGTTTTATACGTGTGTCGCAGTGATTTAATAAGGAGAGTACAGCTGGAGACCACATATATAAAGGTCAAACTAGAGCACTGAACACTGTCAAAGCTGTTTCAGGTGCTGTTTTGTCCTCTCAGAATTTATTACTCTGGAACCAAAGGAGCCCTTGTCTGCTTTCTTGTATGATACTGTTGTGGGTATTTTATGGTATCAATGATAATTAAAATGATTATTTTCATTTGTTTTGGCGAGTTGGATTCCATTTTAGATGTACTCATAATTTTTATTCTCATATACGAAATGCATTACTCTATTTGGGAGAGAGAGAGAGAGAGAGAGAGAGGAGAGAGAGAGAGACAGGAGAGAGAGAGAGAGAGAGAGAGAAGAGAGAGAAGAGAGAGGAGAGAGAGAGAGAGAGAGAGGAGGAGAGAGAGAGAGAGAGAGAGAGAGAGAAGAGAGAGAGAGAGAGAGAGAGAAAGAGAAAGAGAGAGAGAGAAAGAAAGAGAGAGATAAGCAGTAGGGAGAGAATGACAAGCCCACAGCAGCCACACATAAAGTCGACGACAGACAAAAAAGCCAAAACATACCAGGGCGAACTGCAACACCAGACTCACTCGATAGTATTTGCCAGACCACATAAATGCATTCTACTGCTTTCAGTCCTGCTTAAAGCGGAGCAGGAAAAGAGGTTAGAGAAGGAGGAAAACGAGAAAGAAAAGATGGTGAGGAGGAAGGAGACAGATGCCACGAAACAAAAAAGAAGCGGTATCAGCCGAATGCATTTTTATGGAGAGATTTAAGTTCCAGTAGCTTTAATGGTATTCGAAATTCTCTTATGGCCAACACCGTCCAGCTGTTTCAGGCATGTAATGCTGTTACAGGTCAATGTTTCCAGCTGTTTTGGGTACAACTAGTTCTAGCAACAGAAAGATGTAGAATTGGGGGGGAAGGTGGAATAGGGGAGGATGTGAATGAGAAAAAAAGGTGACACACACATATAAACATACGGATTTTAGGAAGTATTTTTTCAGCCTTAAAGTTGTGGAGAGTGAAGTGGTAGAAGAGAGATCAATACATAATTTAAGAAGAGGTACAATACGGCTCTTGAAGTCGTATTGTACCTGGTTGCTCTAGCAACCAACGAAGAAGAAGCGGGCCCAGGAGCTTCGACCCGACCCCTGCAACCACATACAGGTGAGTATATATAGATAGGTGCAAGACGTAAATGATATACACAGTATCAAGAGTAAGCATAACCTAACTCTGTACTCCGGTAATCAGTCAAGCCATTCTTTAAGTATAACGAGGCTAGTCCAGGAGCTATGACTACCCTTGCAAACACATCTAGGTAACAATGAGGCATGTACATACATCATACATAGTCACTAGGGTAGGTACGATAGTGCCCCTGAAGTCAAAACTTAGTATAAAACATTCACTAGAAGATAGGAGATTGGCTATGAATACATAGTATATCGACCCCATCAAGGAGAACAACTAGGCTTGTATAACTAGTTAATAACAAGTGAATATGTATTAGAAAACATTTCGGTTCTGGGACTTTGATCACTTCTGATCAAGGTACCAGAACTGAAAAGCTTTCTAATAAACAAGTGTACATAACAAGGACATCTTTATCATGCACGTTTTGGTCCTGGGACCGTCGCCACTAAAATAATCAGTAAAAATATTCTAAGAGTATATATACATTTGCATGTGTTATTTTGTGTATTGTTCCAGTCAGTTATTTTGTGTATTGTTCCAGTCAGTTATTTTGTGCATTGTTCCAGTCAGTTATTTTGTGTATTGGTTCCAGTCAGTTATTTTGTGTATTGTTCCAGTCAGTTATTTTGTGTATTGTTCCAGTCAGTTATTTTTGTGTATTGTTCCAGTCAGTTATTTTGTGTATTGTTCCAGTCAGTTATTTTGTGTATTGTTCCAGTCAGTTATTTTGTGTATTGTTCCAGTCAGTTATTTTGTGTATTGTTCCAGTCAGTTATTTTGTGTATTGTTCCAGTCAGTATTTTGTGTATTGTTCCAGTCAGTATTTGTGTATTGTTCCAGTCAGTTATTTGTGTATTGTTCCAGTCAGTTATTTGTGTATTGTTCCAGTCAGTTATTTTGTGTATTGTTCAGTCAGTTATTTTGTGTATTGTTCCAGTCAGTTATTTTGTGTATTGTTCCAGTCAGTTATTTTGTGTATTGTTCCAGTCAGTTATTTTGTGTATTGTTCCAGTCAGTTATTTTGTGTATTGTTCAGTCAGTTATTTTTGTATTGTTCCAGTCAGTTATTTTGTGTATTGTTCAGTCAGTTATTTTGTGTATTGTTCCAGTCAGTTATTTTGTGTATTGTTCCAGTCAGTTATTTTGTGTATTGCTCCAGTCAGTTATTTTGTGTATTGTTCCAGTCAGTTATTTTGTGTATTGTTCCAGTCAGTTATTTTGTGTATTGTTCCAGTCAGTTATTTTGTGTATTGTTCCAGTCAGTTATTTTGTGTATTGTTCAGTCAGTTATTTTGTGTATTGTTCCAGTCAGTTATTTGTGTATTGTTCAGTCAGTTATTTGTGTATTGTTCCAGTCAGTTATTTGTGTATTGTACTCTTTATACTCTCTGCCTCCATAACTAAGCGAGTACACGAAGAGTTCACACACATACGAAGGAGTGGACCCTGATGCGATCCAGTGGAGAGACTGTGGCCTGTGGGGAAGAAAAAAAACTGGAACATGGGGGTATTCAAAGATGTCGTAGTGGGATCATTAATGGTTAGAACTCCAAGATTGTAACAGAAAAGAAAAAAGAAAGATTTTTAGATTTTTTCGCCAAAGTGGTTAGTTTTTAGTGCACCTTATATCCATCCTGTGGACGGTAGTGGTTAGTTTATTGTGCATCCTATCTCCATCCTGTGGACGGTAGTGGTTAGTTTATTGTACAACCTCATCCATCCTATGGATGGTAGTGGCTAGTTTGTGCTCCCAATCTCCATCCTGTGGACAGTAGTGGTTAGTTCATAGTGTACCTCATATCCATCCTGTAGATGGTTATGGTTAGTCGACTGTGTACTCCACATCCATCCTATGGACATTAGTGCAATAGCAAATGGATACACAGAAAGCCCAGGAACTAAACCTCCATAAAATGTAACCAGGGGGAACATACAGCTTTCTATTTACAATTGTCCGATCTGCTGCGTGCAGACTAGGATGTCTGCTTAACGTCTGTAAAAAATGGAAGCCGAAAGTGCAGTACGCTGTAGAGTACACATCGAACATCATTAAGAATCTTTTCAGACAGCTGAGAAAAACACATATGCAAAAAAGAACCAATACTTTAGATTTTAATCAAAGATAGAGTGATGGGAAAACTGATGTCGCACCAACAAGGGGAAAACAGAGCGAAAGCCTATATAAAGCGCGCTTTTACCACAAAAAAGTCTTGGGAAATCAGCCTGAGTCTTTTAAGCTCAAGATCAGCGTCAAGGGAAGGGTATGGGTTACACTTTAGAATTGTTTACTAACGTTACAACTGCTTGGTAACATCGTGCTAGTGAGCAGCCTACACTCGCGCGTCTTATATGCTGGGAAAATACGGTAATATTTTTCTTAGCTAACACATAATAGGCAACAAGATTGAGAGGCTGTGGACGAGCCAGTTTTTTTTAACACTATACGTTTCTTAATTACCACTTAAGTGATAAATGATCACTGAAAGATTTAGGAAGGGTATGTGGAGAAGAAAATTAAATGCAAGGAGTCTGGTTTCAACAACGTCGCGAAGACCAGAACAATGAAAGCAAAAGGAAGGTGAAAATATAGAGCACCGAAGACAACATGGAGACAAGCAGAAGATCTCATTGCAAATGTAAACATTAACATATGAATCTGGAAAATAAACTTAAAATAATGCACCAGAAAATACCAAAACATAACACAATTGCTTCACCTAAAAAAAGTTGATTAAACTATTGACCAAGCGATAAGACTGAAAAAAAAAGGCCAAGCCACAGAGGAACAAGATATGACCAGGCGATAAGACTGAGGAAGGTATACTCAGAAAGGCAGCCACAGAAGAAGATACGATTCCAGGGAAACATGGAAACCTGAACAGATCAACCCACACCAGAAGGCAACCACCGTTCACAACAAAAGAGGAAGTGAAAAAGATACCAAATGAAATCTGAAACAAATAGACATGGAACCAGACAATATTTTCCATTGGAAATTAAAGGAATGAACAAAACTACTGTGCAAGTCGTCATCAAACATCGTCAAGTCGCTTAAAACAGGACATCTCGGGGGCAAGGAACAGACAAAAGATATTAAAATACAGTTCAGTATTATATGACATTTATAATCCCGCCTAAAGTCATGGAGACAACTGTCAAGACAAGGGTATTGGAACACCTGGAGAGGAAGCGGATTTGTGGCAGTCAGCTTAGCAGTCTTACAAACCTTCTGCAGTTCTTTGAACTGCAGTAAGACACAATGAAGGACACTAATGACGTCCAAATAAACAGACTGCAAGACAACATTTAACACAGACCATCACCAGAGATAGATCCACAGAAGAGAATGACAGAATTGGAGGAAGCATCAGGATGGACGTGGATAACAAGAGGGGTCTCTCAAGGGTCACTAATAATGTTACTACTCTTCCTAACATTTGAAAATAAGATACCTTAAAAGATCAAATCGCATAAATTTCTGTTTGCCAAATAATATATATATATATATATTATATATATATATATATATATTTATAATATATATATATATATATATTATATATATATATATATATATATATTCTCCATGGGGAAGTGGAACAGAATTCTTCCTCCGTAAGCCATGCGTGTTGTAAGAGGCGACTAAAATGCCGGGAGCAAGGGGCTAGTAACCCTTTCTCCCGTATAAATTACTAAATTTAAAAGAGAAACTCTCGTTTTTCTTTTTGGGCCACCCTGCCTTGGTGGGATACGGCCGGTGTGTTGAAAGAAAGAATATATATATAATATATATATATATATATATATATATATATATATATATATATATATATATATATATATATATATATATATTACATATATAATATATATATATATATATATTATATATTATATATATATATAATATATATGTGTGTGTGTGTGTGTGTGTGTGTGTGTGTGTGTGTGTGTGTGTGTGTGTGTGTGTGTGTGTGTGTGTGTGTGTGTGTGTTAATCAATGATTCACTTAAGGTGACCAAAACCATTTACTTAATTATCCTCAAAGACGTTTTAACTTGTAACTCGCCACTCTACCCCAAGTCAGGTGGTCGTCAACCCACCTCGGTCCCTTGACCATCGACGTAGGTGATCCAGTGGTCTTGTCCAGGTCTCCAGTACTGTAACCTGTATCTCTCAGCATATTCCTTGCCCTGGCCATTACCGAACCTGCCCTGCACCTCCACCTTAGTGACGACGTGTTCCTCCCCCAGATACACCTCCAGGTACTCCACGCCCTCCTTGTAGATGATCTGACGGGGGCACCAAGCACCTCCAGCCACCTCCACGTGAGCTCTGGAATGGACACAGGAAACGACCTGGGAATGAGATGTTTTGGAAGCTTTAGGCTCCGTGAATGTCTTTCTGACAGCCGAGGAGTTAGTCATGGCACTAAGTGTAGTTCAAGAAACTGGACCAGGAGCTGAGTCGACACCCGTAAAGACCTATCCCTGAGTAACATATAAGTGTACACACACAGAGAGAAAACTGGCATAGTGTCTATGACAAAAAGCCATGACAACTGTTGACTAAAATACACACCAACACACACACACATACAAATACACAAGCAAATCATATAGTAAGTCAAACATACGCAGATGTTACTGAACTTTACTGCTGTGTAAAGATCATATCTGTCAAATTAATGCCTCATTTGCATGCTGTCAAAATGGCAATTACATCATGCGCAAGCAGTTTAGTCTCCACGTGAACCACCACCATTAGTCTCTGGAGTTTTATTATCAGTTAAGTGGAGATTCTTGACCTTCTTATTGCCTTATACGAGACGATAAACTGCAATACAACTGACTGGTGTATCCCCAGATATTATTTAGATATTTTGGGATATTTGACCACAGGAAGTTAAAGATCTGTAGTGTTTACACTGCCGCGTCGGACTCCATGTCGTGAAGCGCTACACTCTGGTGGGTCATTCGGTGTAAGGAGTGGTGGAGGCTCGACCCTCCGTCCGTTAATTTTTCCGTTAAGAAATAGGTTGACTTTTTCTCGTTTAAACGTACGTTGTTAAATTACGGAACTGTATTTCTGACCGGTGCGAAAAAAAACGTGCAGTAGCACCGGCCTTATATACAGAACATAAGGAGTGATTTGATCCGAGGATTAGGAGGGTGCTTCCGGTTACTTGGATTAAGAGCCTTACACCAGCATCAAGACATCCCTTTCCCCTTAAAGAGAACCTTAAGGGGTAGGGGGCAGGAAGGTACGAATCTTCAATTATTTCTCATCTCCATTATTTTTTCTTCTTTCCGAAGGAAACTTATCAAGTAATTTCATACCTACTAAACAATACTGAAAAAAATAATCCAAAACTTTTAATCTTTTAAGTTTCATTCTAAATTATCTGAGAACGTAAAAGGAAAGTCACAGTTGGAAAATTTTATTTTGGCAACCGTGGATGATTCATCTCGCCGCCCATAGATGGCGCTGACCGTAACAACACATAGCATTTTTATGCCATGTTTTTTTTATGAAGCTGCCGAATAAGCCGAATTTTTTTGTGGGTGTAATTTTCATCATATATAAATTTCAAGTTAAAAAACCTGAGGATGAGTCTAATAAGAGAAATGTGTTGGTGAGCAGCGAATCTGTACAGCATTACAATGTAGTTGAATTGTTAGATATATGTTTGTTTATGGTAAGAGGATGAGACTGCAGAGTCGGTGGTGGCCAGGATTCGTTTACGTTACATGTATATGTGACAGCTTGGTGTAGCGACTCCAAAAATAGGAATCGTAGTGTTAAATGTGTGAGAGAGGAGATAAACATTCCACCATTATAACTTAGAACGAAGCAGATTACCGGACTATAGGATGAGTTCTACACACACGTAGTCGCGCAGCAGCTGTGATTGGTAGCGTTTTAGGAGAAAATATGCAAGCTGTGTTGCAATTAGATAATGGTAATTAACAATTAGGAGACATTTTGATATACAGACTCTTAATTATAAAGGTAATGATGACAGTGTACTGAAGTAACCAATGATGGAGTTTATATCGGCAGTGGAGTGTCTGCTGTCTGGGTACACAAGTTCATCCTCAGTCAAAGCGTGAGTGGTACTGTCTGATAAACCTAGAGGGCGAGGGGGTCGTTCCTATGTGGAGGTCGTTCCGACCTCCACATAGACAATAAGTAACTTTGTATCCTAATCAAATCTTGTAAAAAATTTACATGAACTTAATCTTCCTTATCATAATGATAGTTTATTACAGGTGGTAACGGGAAGCTGTATATTTCGATCCTCTTCAGTGGATAAGTATGGAGGAGTAGCGTAATGAATGTGTTTACACTTCAACTGGGAGAGTGTTGTAATTCCGAGGACATCGAGAGCAATACACATTTTACTCTTAAGATGTGAGCCTGTGCATAGCTACAAGCAATGTTGACAGAACAGTTACACTCACCTTCCATAGATGGCGTTGACGTTACTAACCAAGACATTGCACTCCCACACACAGTTACTAACAGTGTTTATAGTGTAGGTTACACTCACCTCCCATAGATGGCGTTGACGGTACTAACCAAGACATGGCACTCCCACACACATCAACTAATATGTGTTGACAATGAAAGTTACACTCACCTCCCATAGATGGCGTTGACGGTATAACCAAGGCATGGGCACTCCCACACACAGTTACTAACAGTGTTGATAGTGTAGGTTACACTCACCTCCCATAGATGGCGTTGACGGTACTCAACCAAGACATGGCACTCCCACGCACATCATAATAGTGTTGACAATGAAAGTTACACTCACCTCCCATAGATGGCGTTGACGGTACTAACCAAGACATGCACTACCTCAACACAGTACTAACAGTGTTGAAGTGTAGGTTACACTCACCTCCCATAATGGAGTTGACGGCGGCGTTCGAGTAGGAGGAGCGGAGACGTGTTCGTCAGGATAAACGCAGACTGCTACCCTGAAGCCACGTAAACTGACCTGACACACAGGTCAACCGGTACATACACATTAATTAAGGTTAAAGTATATGAAAACAGAGTTCACAGAAGTTCCTCTTAAGAGGAATGGTTTCCAGGGCAAACACAAATTATTTCATCTACACTCCTTACTATACACTGAAAAACACTTGTTAAAAAATTAATATACGGTACATTAATATATCATGAGAATCGATAATGGACAGATACTAGCCATTACTAATAATTTTCATTGCAAGCTCCTGATGTATGATGCAACATGAGAGGCCAGAGCTGTGGTTGTTTTGGTGCCGCCACACAAAAACAATATATAATATATTATATATATAATAAATTTTTATTTAAAAATATAATTATAAATAATTTAATTATTTAAAAAACATGATCTGGCTGAAGGAGACCGAAACCCACGAACCTTAAAAAGGACCC